CATTATCAAGTTGATTATATAGCGAGCTGACAAACATTGTGAGTGTAGAAAATATGTAGTAATTAATGAAAGAAGTCTAAACACACCATAATTATTTATATATAATGAATTAGTACAATATTTTACACTTTATACATTGTATGGTAAGATACATGAGTGACTTAGTACCACATAGAGTTCCTATGAGGTTCAAATTTTTCACTATGTTCATCATCTCTATGTGTAGAGTGAGTGTATTGTGAAGAGTAGTTATCAAATGATAAATCCCCAAAATAGTTTTGCATGTAATTGTTAACATGCCACCCATATGGATCCGAGATTGGTTGACCTTGTCCATAAGCAAAATCATTTGAAGATTGAGTCTCGGATTGTTTCCATGAGTCGCTCGATTCCATCCCAACAGGATTGGGATATGAAGGGTAGGGAAATGGTTGGTTATGAGTATAACCATAGTTACTACTTCCCAATCCAACAGAATCCGAAGTTATAGATAACGAGTCATCTTCTTGACTTGACAAAATCCCCTTGCCTCTTTCTCTATAAGTATAGTCCTTCCCTATGGCACCAATTCCTGGTCCTGCCCGCCTACTGTCATAGTCATCATCCTGTTTTGCATGCGTGAAGTTTCCCTCACCAGTGAAGGGGCTCATAAATCCGGGAGGTGCTCCAACATAATTTCCATATCCACCACCACTACCTCCAGCTCCACTATATCCTTCATCATTCCCACCTCCGGTGGTAGGTGAGTCTCCTGATCTTGTACTAAAGCTATCATTAGTATCAGCATGATGTTGTGGTTGTGTAGGATTGGAAGAAGGTGGAATTCCAGTGTTTCTTGGTCTTGGGCGCAAAAGTTCTTCCAAAGAGTCAGCGCTGCTAGATCCCACCTCTTCCTCTAATACTCTTTCTACATTTATCCCTTCATTACGTGCTTCTTCAGCAACTCTGGGAGCTGGGTTGCCTTCATCATCATCTAAATGAAGATGTCTAATCCATTGATAAAATTGGTTACCCTCTGTATCATCATCTTCACCACAATATCAAACATATCTAATGGGTCACCACGGTCGACATGATCTATTTCTGCTTCCTTATCTCGAATTTGAAGCTTCATGTTATAGTAGCAATAAACTAATTTTTCCAACCTACTATGAGCCAACCTATTTCTTTGCTTTGTGTGTATGAGTACAAATGTGCTCCAATTTCTTTCACAAGCAGATGAGGAAGCTGTTTGTGATAATACTTTGATTGCTAACTTTCTCACAGTTAGTGCATCGGTCCCATACATGATCCACCATTCAGCTACAATGAAAAACAATGTTGATAAGCCTAATAACTCCAACAAATTCTATTATAAACTTATAGTGAAATATGTTTACACTCACTAGGAGACATTGTTGTTCGAGCAACAATTGATGTTGGTTCTCCAAAAGTTCTCCAAAAGTTCTTCTTGCATCTTTAAACCATGTTAGCTGAATTCAATAAATCGTGTTAGTTTAATCCAACAAAGTAATTATTATAATTTAAGTAACTGTGTACCTCATTTCCAAATTGGCCAACTGCTGGTGATGCAAGGTCTAATTTAGAGTAAACATTATGTACAGCATGTATAAGGGTACCATCATCTTCAACACCTGGTCTGTATTGGTATCGAGGATTCAAATAATATGTTGTTCAAATAAACACATACTCTAATAAGAGAAATAATACTTATGCAACTAAAGAAATGAATTGCAAATTATGACATAATTTATACCTGCTACATGCAAATCGTGGTATAATGTTTTATACCATCGGTCTTCAATTATCTTTATGACCCACCTTGCACCATGTTTTCTTTCCAATTCATCCTTCACTACACGCATTAACTCATATACTGCCCCTATAGTAGGATACACTTCTGTGTCAACAATCCGTAAAACCTTGTAAAGAGGTTCAAACACTTGGCACACATGTTCTGATTAAGTCCAAAAAGCATGATCAAGCACTATACTTTCCACCATACGACCTGCATTTGAGCGGCTGAAATTGTGGTTGGCCCAATTGTCACTAGTGAATAGTTGCTTCAACCCTGCTTTCTTCTTAAGTAGGCTGTCTAATGCAATATAGTTGGTGGCGAATCGAGTGGTAGCTGGACGAATAATTTCTCCTTTGCAAAATTCACGCATCTTTGCCAACAACCAACCGTGATTGTAAATATAATTTGTGATCGGTCTAGCTCTTTTGACCACAGTAGCAACATTCTCTCTCTTCCCCATTGCCTCAAACATGAGATCAATACAATGTGCTGCACATGATGTCCAAAACACATTATGATGCTTCATTAACTTTTTTCCAGCTTTGACAAATGCAGAACTATTGTCGGTCACGACTTGGACAACATTATGCTCTCCCATCTCCATGATTACATCCCTCAATAATTTGTAAATATACTTGTAGTTCTTTATATGGTCTGAAGCATCAACAAACTTCAAAAAAAATTGTCTTTCCCTTGGAGTATACCATGAAGTTTATGATAGACAATCTGGTCGGGCTGGTCCATCCGTCACACATGATTGTGCAACCATTAGTTTCCCACTTTGACCTCAACTTGTTAACATACTCGCCAATGTCTTTATACTCCATATCCAAATATTTGTTTCTTATCTCATAGGGAGTGGGAGGTTGTACTCCAACACCGGCCTGTTGACATCCCACTACCATATTTTTGAAATGATATGATGATGTTTTCTCAGCAGGGACATTTTCATAGATAAAGAACTTGCTAATTAGACGCCCCATTCCCCCCTTCACATTACCTCCAGTGAAATAACTCCAAACACTATTTTGATGTGCTTTGGATGACTTATATAAACTTGGGGCTATTGGTGGTGTTGGTTGTGATTCTCTAAGATTGCCTCCCCGTCTCATTTGTGCACCACCACTTGTCCCGGAACCTTGTGCTCTATTAGGAATTTTATGAAGGTGTTCTCTTTCCCATGCTGACTGTTTGGAGGCACGTAATGCTTGTTTCAAACTACGTCGTTCTTCAGGTCTCATGTCATCATCACATTCGTCCTCATCATCATCATCATCACTGTCAACCGCTTGGCCATAGACTTCTCCCCGTAGCCCAGCTCGAATATTTTCCATTCCATGTGTTATCTTTTCCTTCTGCTGTTTTTTATTTTTTAATAATGTGTTGATGAATGCCTTCACTTCTGGGGGGACATTATTGCATCGTTGGACATTTTTTGATGGATCTAATCCACTAAGATGGTACTTAAGTCGTGTCACTCCGCCACTCTTCATTACCCGACCATAATATTTGCAAATTGTGCCATGTTTGTTTCCGTCTATTGGGTCTCCATGTTCCCAAGCTGGATCACGTTTAGTAACTCCACTAGACATCTTAAACGTACCTATATTTATTTTTCATGAAAATTACACAATTATTTTTTGGTAAAATAAGAGAACCTAAATAATAAAGTTATTCTACAGAAGAATTAAATACGAAGTAAAGAAAATGATTGTAAAAATTTAAGTAATTATACAAATAATATGGAATAATAAAACCTAATATTAATGAATAATAATCCAATTTGATAAAAAAATAATCCTAATATAAAACATGGTGATGAATAATAATCCAATTTGATAATAATCCAATTTAATGAATAATCCAATTTGATAATAATCCAATTTAATGAATAATAATCCAATTTGATAATAAAAAAACCTAATATTAATGAATAATAATCCAATTTGATAATAAAACCTAATATTAATGAATAATAATCCAATTTGATAAAAAAAATAATCCTAATATAAAACATGGTGATGAATAATAATCCAATTTGATAATAATCCAATTTAATGAATAATCCAATTTGATAATAATCCAATTTAATGAATAATAATCCAATTTGATAATAAAAAAAACCTAATATTAATGAATAATAATCCAATTTGATAATAAAACCTAATATTAATGAATAATAATCCAATTTGATAAAAAAATAATCCTAATATAAAACATGGTGATGAATAATAATCCAATTTGATAATAATCCAATTTAATGAATAATAATCCAATTTAATGAATAATAATCCAATTTGATAATAATCCAATTTAATGAATAATAATCCAATTTGATAATAAAACCTAATATTAATGAATAATAATCCAATTTGATAAAAAAAATAATCCTAATATAAAACATGGTGATGAATAATAATCCAATTTGATAATAATCCAATTTAATGAATAATAATCCAATTTAATGAATAATAATCCAATTTGATAATAAAAAAAACCTAATATTAATGAATAATAATCCAATTTGATAATAAAACCTAATATTAATAAAATAATAAATAACATTAAACATATTAAAATTATCCTAGGGAATAATTATACAACATTACTTAATTACTTAAAAAAATTAACATGTAATTGTTAACATTACTTAATTACTTACAAAAATTAACATGCAAGTATTAATTACTTAAAAAATTAACATACGAGTCCACACAAATTTATTTGTTGTTGTATAAATCACAATAATATAAATATAAGTTTGTAAACTTACCTTAAATATGGAACTCTTTGTGTTCAAGCTTTGGAATGGATCTGGAATGGCTTTGAAAATGGTAAGGGAAGAAGAAGAAACGAAAATGCTCTGAATGCCTCTGATACTCCACCTCTGATAAGGTGAAAGAATATAACAGACAATGGCAAACTGTTTTGCATGTGAAAGAATATCACGGACTCACAGTGGCACACGGTTTCATTATGAAAGCACTATTATTTGTTGTCCATGGTCTGAAATTGCAAAAAGTTATTTGGATCATTGGATCAGAGAGCTAGAGACAGGTTTTGAATTATTTGGATCATTGGATGCTTTTTTTTTCTCACACGCCACCACACACACACAGAGTCAGAGAGTGAGTCACACTCACACGCCACCACACACGCACTTCGAGACCCCCCACACCACACACGCACACAGAGACTGAGCTCAGTCTCTCGATCCTTCCTTTTCTCTCTTCTGAGTTCTGAGTCTTCTCCCTTCCTTCTCTCTTCTGAGTTTTCTCCCTTCCCTTCTCCCTTCTCTAGTTCTCCCACACACACACACAGACATCATCTCTCGATCCATCTCTCGATCCTCCTCGTCCGCGTCTCCCTCTGCTCCTCCCTCGCCTTCCTCCTCGTCGAGCTCGTCACCATGTCCCGCGACCTCTATCTCTCCTCTGTCGTCCCCATCGATGCGATCCTCCTCGTCCGCGTCTCCCTCTGCTCCTCCCTCACCTTCCTCCTCGTCGAGCCCGTCACCATGTCCCGCGACCTCTACCTCTCCTCCGTCGTCCCCATCGGCGCTCTCTACTCCCTCTCCCTCTGGCTCTCCAACTCCGCCTACATCTTCCTCTCCGTCTCCTTCATCTAGATGCTCAAGGCCCTCATACCCGTCGGCCGTCGCCGTCTACTCCATCGGCGTCTCCTTCAAGCAATGTTGCGATAATATCGCTAATATCGCGATATTATCTCGATATTTTGACGGAAACCTATTGGATATGTGTAGAAATATTGGACTCCCAAAAAAAAACGATAATATTAGTGAAATATCGCCGATATTATCGATTTTTTATATCTTGCTCTTCATTGATTCTCCTTTGATTTATTCAATCAATAGGTGTTGGTGCAATGTATGTACGGAGAAGTGCATGGAAAGAAAATAAGAGTTAAAAAAAATACCCTTTGATTTATCCAATCAATGAGTTTTGGTGCAATGTATTAATCTATTGGTTGTTTCTCCACTCTCTCTTGCCGCACCTCTTTATCCCCTAGGTCAAAACATTACTGTTTTATTTTGAGGATAATGCTAAGGTGATTAAATTTGTAAACAGAATTTTACAAAGTAAGTGACATTAAAGTTGATGATTGGATTAAAACTTAAGCGTTGATAAACTTGCTTATTTTGATTGATGATATATCATTTAGTTTATAAATTTTGTCTTCCTAACATTACCTCTTATTTTAAAACTATTTTTTAACAAGATTTTAAACTATTTATTCTAAAGCACAACATTTTTTTTACTATTTTATTTTAAACTATTTATGCTACAGCAGAACATTTTTTAAAAGCAGTGCAATACCAAATCATATGTGCTAGAAAATTCTGTCTCTCTCGCCTCCTAATAGAGCGTCAAATGTCTTTCCCAGCTCGTTCGTTTTCTTTTGGGTGAAACTTCGTTTTCTTTTGGGTGAAACTCCTTGCTCGTTCGTTAAGCTGAAACCGACAAACAGCTTACATAACCTCCTGAGTTTCTCATCAAACTAGATTATTTTACATTCTCTCCGTGTATCCATTCGAATTTCTTTCTTTCTTTCTTCAGCCAAGAACAGATTACCTAATTGAGTCAAGTTTTGAGTCTCTTTGTTATGCTAAATATGTCTCTGGCTTCAGTCAGAATGGGTGCTCTCAGAACGCCATTTCAAATGCCGTTTGATGCTGTAAAATCAGCAGAGGAGGAGAAAAAATGTTCCCACACCTCCCTCCGAGACATCAATCCACACTGGAATCTCTACAACCACTCATCAAAACATGGAAAAGTATAACACGAAAGAGGGACTGCAAAATTTTGCAATACAGATGAAGGAGGGAGCAAAACTTGTTCAGAAGTGCAGCAAAGTTGGCCTGTGGAGAAAATACAAGTACGTCAACAAGCTTCATCAACTGGACAAATCTCTTCGGAGAGTGTTGATGTGCTTAAACTGCTGGGTATGAGGGATGCAAGGGAGACATTGGTTCTTTTGAGGAATATCGAAGTCTCTCGAATACAAGAGAATTTGTGATGAAAAATAATCAGCCTGAAAAGGTTAAGTGTTCGCCTGTGGTGCCTGAACCGCAGTCAGTTACGATCGGTTGTCCATGCTTATGTTGACTGTTGCTGGAGGTTGACCTTACCCAAAAAGTTTTGTCCAGACCAAGAAGTCAAAGGTATGCTCTCTATGATTTCAACTATTTTTTTGGTGAAGTTTTACGTCCTATTAAAAAAGTAATACACTATATAGAAGATTATGGGGCCTAAAAATGCCCTCTACTCTCTCCCAGCATATCACTAACCAAAATTTTCATTTTCAATTGTGAGTGTAGACATCGAAATTTTGGTAAATAAATTTTGACCGATAAATCAAAGTTTCAACGCTCATGAATTACATAAATTTTACACGTAGCGTGTGCCTCGACGAAAAATTGAAATGAGTCGGAAAAGTCATCAAACAGGACACGTGTCAACACCTGGCAAAAACAACTTATTTCATTTGGAATATTATATTCAAAATTAGGCCTTGGAAATTTCTATAAATAGAAGGCTAATTCATTCATTTGAAGGAACCAAAATCATTAGGCAAAATTCTTGAAGCTCTGAAGCTCTGAAACGCCGAAGCTCTCAAGCATCCAGGTTCCCGAAGAATCAAGAAAGCTCTCTTCGTTCTTCGTTCTTCGTTCATCGTTCATCCTAAGATCAAGCCCAAACGGCCCTTTGGATCAACAATCATCCACCAATTCAAGATCAAGCCCCGATGGCCCTTGAAGAAAGTGTTATTCGTTCTTTGTTCATCAGTCTTCCAAGATTAAACCCCAACGGCCCTTTGGATCAACAATCATCCACCAATTCAAGATCAAGCCCCGACGGCCCTTGAAGAAAACGTTCTTCGTTCTTCGTTCATCGTTCTTCCAGGATCAAACCCCAACGGCCCTTTGGATCAATAATCATCCACCAATTCAAGATCAAGCCCCGACGGCCCTTGAAGAAAGCGTTCTTCGTTCTTCCAAGATCAAGCCCAGACGGCCCTTGGATCAACAATCCACCAATTCAAGATCAAGCCCCAAAGGCCCTTGAAGAACTTCCACCAATTCAAGATCAAGCCCCGACGGCCCTTGAAGAAAGCACCATCGTTCATCATCCGTTCATCTTAAGATCAAGTCCCAACGACCCTTTGGATCAACAACGTCGACAAATCCACACATCCAACCGTTCTTCAAAATCAAGCCCAAAAGCTCTTGAAGATCCGTTCATCATTGTTCTTCAAGATCAAGCCCAAAAACCTTTGAAGATCCGTTCATCACTGTTATTCAAGATCAAGCCTCAACGGCCCTTGAAGAAACACTCATCCTCAAGATCAAGCCCCAACGACTCCTTGAAGATTCGCTCAAATCCACCTTCAAAGATCAAGCCCATGGCCCTTGAAGAAACTTCCAACAGTTCATCCAAAATCAAGCCTCGATGGCCCTTGGATCAACGAAACATCCACAAATCAACACCTTACAGAGATTGAATCAGAGGATCAAATTTGAGAGAGATTGTAACCCAAAACCATCAAATACAAATATTATTTTGTGCACGTTGTTCTTGTCGCTTTCGTTTCAGGAAAATTTCGTGTTCACAAATTTGGCACGCCTAGTGGGACTATCTCTGCCTATCATCTCTTTCTCCGTTCAAGAAAATCAAGCACACTTCCAAAATCAATGGCATCAAGCAAAGGACAAGCCGTTCTCACAAAGGGAAGAAGCTTGAGCACTTCCGCCATGAACGGAGCATCCATTGGCGCCACAACCGCTCCTCAACATGCCACTTCAAAATTGGTGTCGCTAAAAGAGCAAGGGGATCATCAAAGGCGCGAGTCCGTCATCAACCTGACCTCGCTGGAGGCACCGAAGCATGATGCTGAGGCACACAAGATGACATCCCAAAGCAGCCAACGATGTTCTTCGTCAGCTTCCTGGATGTCTAAAGGAAAGTCACGTCTATTGGTTGCACAAGTCATGACCATCGACGTTACCTCCATCGAAGAACAACTGGCTCAAATAAATGAAGCGATTGCAAGGCTAACACAGATTGTGGAAGAAAAATACTTGCAAATCGCTGTACTCGTCAGCCGACTGGAGCCACAGGACGACGAGAACCCCAACCCAGAAGATGATCCACTAAAAAGAGAAGCTGGCGAATAAGATAAGCCTCCGATAGAGAGAATCGATGTGAAGCCGGAGCTAGACCAAGCAGCGGCACTTATGGGATTTCTTTCTATCCAGCAGCTGTAGGAGATGATCACCAACACCATCAAGGCACAGTACGAAAGGAGCTCAAATACTTCCGGGTTCTACTCGAAGCCTTATTCCAAGAAGATTGATACCCTGAAGATGCCAAAGGGTTATCAACCACCAAAGTTCATGCAGTTTGATGGAAAAGGAAACCCAAAGCAGCATGTTGCACATTTCGTTGAAACTTGCAACAACGTGGGGACGGAGGGAGACTACCTCGCCAAGCAGTTTGTGCGCTCGCTGAAAGGAAACGCCTTTGAGTGGTACACGGACCTAGAGTCTGAGTCCATCAACAACTAGGAGCAATTGGAAAGAGAGTTCTTTAATCGCTTCTACAGCACCCGCCGCACTGTAAGCATGTTAAAGCTGACAAGTACAAAGCAATGGAAAGATAAGCCGGTCATTGACTACATCAACAGATGGCGCACTCTAAGCCTCGACTGCAAAGACAGGCTCTCGGAGACCTCTTCAATCGAGATGTGCATCCAAGGCATGCAATGGGGTTTGCAATACATCCTTCAAGGCATCAAACCACGGACCTTCGAAGAGCTAGCCACCCGCGCCCATGACATGGAGTTAAGCATCGCCCATCATGGGAAGAAGGAACCAATCGCCGACTACAAGAACGACAAAGTTCTTGAGACAAAGGTGGAGAAGGTTGTGTGGAAATCCACCAAGGAAGCAATGACGGTCAACACAGCTCCCGTCAAAATCCCTACATGAGGCAAGGCGATTCAAGCTGAAGCTTTTCGTGATCAAGAGATGCGTAAACGCACTTTGAAGGAGCTTGAGGAAAAGACTTATCCATTCCCCGACTCTGATGTGGTTGCCATGTTAGAAGACTTGCTGGAAAAGAAGGTGATCGGCTTGCCTAAGTGCAGACGGCCAGAAGAGATGAATCGCACCGACAGTCTAAGGTACTGTAAATTCCATCGCTTCATCAGTCATCCGACAAAAAAGTGCTTCGTGCTGAAAGATCTCATCATGAAGCTGGCACAGAAAGGAATCATCGAGCTAGATCTTGACGATATGGTGAAGTCAAACTATACCACCATCATTTTTGGCTCTTCTGACTCAAAGTTTTTACCTCAACCTCCGGGGGCATCCTTCAAGACAAGTAAAGTTGAAGGATGGACTCAAGTCATTCCTAAGAAATTGCACAAGAAGCATACGTCTCCTCCATAAGTCCGCCAATCGGAAAGGGGGCAAAGCAGCTCTTGTCAACCTTCAAAGCAACGTGAACGTGTTAAAGATGATGAAATTGCGATACAAAGATCGTCTGTTGCCATCACGATGCGCGACTTCTTACCCGAAGACTTCTTCAATCACGCGGTCAAGGCTCCTTACTATGAAGATTGTGAGGAACGCCTCTCCAAAATTGCTTGACAAATTCACCAATTTTCCTCACCCGCGTGAGTCTAAACTGCATGGCACAAAGCTCCTGGTCTGCACGAGCATAAAAGGCAACACTAATGCTCCTTCTCCGCAAGAGCCTAAACTGCAGAACACTAAAGCTCTTGGTTTGCACGAGCATAAAAGGCAACACCAAACGCTCCTTGCCTGCACGAGTTAAAACTGCAAACGGCACAAAAAAAAATTCCAAAAAAAAAAATCTGTATTTGAACTACGTTTTCATTTGATCTCTTCCTTGGAGGGGTACGTAGGCAGCTCGAACATTAAATTTCGAGTTTAGTCACATCAAAATAAAATTTAAAAAAAATAAATGTTTTATTAATGAAAGTCAATTTCATTACAAGAAAAAGAATACATATGCTATTACTATGTATTTTAGAAAAAAAGAAAAAAAAAGAAAAAAAATAAATACATATATTAAAAAAAAAAGAAACACACACACATATATATATATATATATATATATATATATATATATATATATATATATATATATATTTGTATAGCCCAGCTACAAATCAGGCTTCTTTCAGTTCACAGGCCCAATCTGACCACCAAGCAGCAGCAAGCCCATCCTCACTTGTGTCTGGGCCCAGCAGCAGAAAGCTCAACCCCCTAGCCCTGATCTCTCCCTGCGACTCCAAACTGCTCTTCTCCGCTCGCCAATCGCAGATCCAAACCGCCGCACGATGGCAAAAAAAGCAATCAAAACCCAAACAGATTTCGCCGGCGAACGCAGTCTTTCTCGACGCTCTAGCTCCTGGCGTTAACAGTCCAATATGGACGACGCTGAGATTTGTGTTTGTAATGCTGGCTGGAGCTTTGTAACGTCAACTATGGCTCGGCCAAGGCATGTGCATGAACGCAACAAGCTACGGCGTTGTTCGATTGTCGCGGTGCTTACAACAGTGGCGGAGAATATGAACATAGCAACAGATACAAGACCGGCAGATGCTGCAGTAGAAGAGAAGATAGTGAGTCATCCCTTGCCTCTAGCTGCATCTTCCTGACGCTGTCTCTGCGTTCGCTGCCGTCGGTGTGCAGCTTCCTCTTGATCCTGCTCCACGTGTTGACAATTGACGGGGCTACATCTAGATGCGCAGCGGCGAGGAAAAAGTCGAGCTCCAAGTAGTACGGAGCGCACATGGTGCTAAAGGCACTGACGGCGATTCCAAGGGTCGCTGGCACCAGCAGTCGCTGACGGTGCTGGTGTTCACGAGGGCCTTCTCCTGCAAATATCCTGTCTCTCGTCATCCGCCACGTCTTCTTCCTCTCATGAAAGTGGCGGAGTCACCCACAAACAAAAGGAAGACCCGCAGATGCACAAGATCTGGATATTGTTGGATGGCTTGCTAGGGATCCTAATGTCCTGCGTCGTGTTGGACACTTGCTGCTGCAACTTCCTTATACAGTTTCACGCAGTCCAAGACAAATTGTAATAGCTGATGATTGCTTTCAAGAAGTAAAGATTCCCGTTGATAGGATTGTTCAAGTGGTGATCAAATCCACTGAGAAGCTTTTTGGAAAACAAGTTTTGAAACATGAAAATATTGGGGAATACTGCAATTCAAAAGTTCCAAGCTTGAAAAAGATTTCACGGCCAGAAGAAGCTTCATCCCTCAAATTGCTTGCCAATGTTGTGCAGTTTCTTCAAAGGCATGAGTTCAGACATAATCATGGGGAGTGGATTGATTCGGTAAAGCCTGTTTTGGAGTCTGCTACTTCAGCTCAGCACTGCGTCCTCCTCGGGCGACCACGGTCCCCTCACTTTCCTGCTGGGCATTGCGCCCTCGTTCAACTCAGCTTCGGTGCCGGGGCGGTTGTCGGCTTCTTTGGGGACAACGTCGTTTAGGACTGTCATTGGTGGTCCCCATTGCTGGCATTATCCTCACAACAACTCTATTGACAAGACCCCAAGGACTCGTCGGACATTTCCCGCATCTCCTCCTTGCTGTTGGAATGGACCAAGCTCCTCTGCAACAAGCACAACACCATCAATACAGCTGCTTCATCCACTGCCTCAGAACAATCATCTTCTCCGTCAAGCAGAAAAGTTAGAGGTGCAGGAAGCTGTCAAAGTTGTAGTGATATATAGAAAGAAATAATAATAATAAAAAACATTGGTGCGGCATGAGTGGTGGTACCACCGAAAGCAAAGAAAAAATAATAATAATAAAAATTCAATAGAGTCATGATGCGGTGTGTTTGAGCACTACCAAATGCCAAAATATAAAAATAAAAAAAGGGATGGTGGAGTAAAGTGGTGCTGGCACCACGTGAAAAAAAAAGAGGGTGCATCTCGCACCGAAAGCAAAAAAAAAAAATATATATATATATATATATAAAAAATAAAAAAAATGCATTGAGAGAAATAAAGTCTATTTTATTTATTTTTCTGAAAATTTTACATAAATTTGCATTATACATACCTAAAAATAAAAGAGTAAACTGTCGATTTACCCCCTGAACTTTCACCTCGCTTTCAATTTCCCCCCTTTTCTATTGGAAAATTAAGGACTCAAACTAATTTTTTTAGCCGATTTGCCCCCTACCGTTAGTTTTTCATATATTCCATCCATATTTCTGTTATGTGATAATTCTTTAAGGGCAGAAAAGTCATTTAGCAAGACTTTCACACAATATACCCTTTGCACCATCGCTGTTTAGAAATTTAGGGTTTACACGCGACTTGCAAGGTGGGTGTTCACTGAAACTTGGGGGAAATTGACTTCATAGTTTGCTGATGGTGGATTCGACAAAATCATTAAGATTACAAAAAGTTTTGAGAGTTGAAGATGCCTTTGGAGGTGCGCAGTGGGGGAATCGTCCAAAGTACTGCAAGTATATTTTATACCTTTTGTAATTGTTTGTTTAATAGGAAGATGTTCATAATACTCATAAAAAAATGTTCAAGATAATTATATACTTTTCATAATGTCATAATCCCAATACAATTCCACAAAATGATCCTTAAGAAGTTGGAAAACATAAGAGATTTTACCATCCATAAGGTATATAACCCATATAATCTCGATTACAAAATATGGGCATTCCACTTAACCAAACACAAGCAAAATAAGGTTTTAGTTATCAAAACAAGAGCACAAACATTCTGCTCGAAACGCACATGACACGTGGAGATCAACTACACTTTCCATGGCCTTCCTCGTTTGGCTGGAATCTTGTACCTAAACCTATTTTCATTTCTGATGGCTGAGTAAGGTTGAGGGTGTGATGTAGAAACAGCAACTTGAGGTTATGCTTCACATTGTGCTTGAGATACATACCCTTCTCTTGTAACCTAAAAAAAAATATCAGTTAAAGCATTAACATAAATCAGTTGAAATATAAAAACTGCATACCTTCCTCTTGTATTTTCATTTATACCTATAGAATAGAAAATGATGTACTTACAGAAAAAATTGTCGTCCTTTGAGCTTGAGATTGAGATTGAATTGGACATTCAGAATGAGCTTGAGTTGGAACTTGAGAATGAGTTTCACCTTGATCTTGCTTACCTCCTAAACCCTGAAGTAATTCAATGATGTTAACAATAGTTTATTTACCAATTTAAATAAAAATAAAAACTTAAATTGATGGTTTTCATCACCCCTGTTAAGTTTAGAGCTCCTCTGCCTCCTCTTGCTCCTCCACGTTGTCCTCTTGCTTCTCCACGTTGTCATCTTGCTCCTTTACCTCCCCTTGCTCCTCTTCCTCTTCTACCTCCTTGTCCATCCATCTGCAATAAAGTTGGGAATTTCAATGAAATGCGTGTGAAACTATGAGAACTAAATTAAGTTCAAGTCAAAATTTGAGAATATCAGAAATACATGCTCATTGTTGCGACAAGTTGCTGAGTTATGACCATCAACACCACAAATGTTGCAATTAATAACAATGCCATATCTTCTCAACTTTGTTGCCTTTTTTGGTATCTCATCAGCTTCCCTTTTTCTACAAGTTTTAGGTCTCCCAGGTTGTTTGTGATACAAAGGGGGCTTGATAGGCACAAGGCCTGTTTTCCTCCACTCTTTTGGACCAGGCATCGGAGAAATGTATCCCTCATAAGCCCTGTCATATGCTGGCCTCTTATAACAAGAATGAACATAATCAAGTGGGTTATGCTCTTTCTTGCCTATTGCAGTAATAGCATGTGGACATGGGATTCCACATAAATCCCACTTTCGACAAGAACATGTATGACGTTCCAAATCAACAGCGTACATACCACCATGAAGATGGTTCACCTGATACTTTCCCCCACCAGCATATGAGGCTATGCATAAAAAACTTTCAATTTTATATTTCTCAACCATTTCAAATATTCTGGGCCCAACTTCATGATTCCAAATTATCTCTCGAACCCTAGCCATCCTAAGCATCAAGTATGGATGCATCCTTTGTAGCAAAGTCAGAATGGGCTTATCTCTTGCTTCCAATATAGCAGCATTAAAAGACTCACACAAGTTATTGAGTAGTATATCACACTTTGCATTAGTATTGAAATGTGACCTACTCCAATTATTTGCTGGCTTATCCTCAAACCAATCAAATGCTGACTTAGATTGAGCTAACATTTTATCCATTTCAGCCTCCCACATAGGGATTGTTGTTGCCCTTGCCGCAGCCCACAATCTTTGTTTTAGTGCAAGACCAGTGTGACCTGCAGTCTTAAAATTATTGTGCAAATGCCTAACGCAATGCCTATGTTCTGCATTTGGCATCAAAGCGGTAATCGCATTTCCTAATCCTTTTTGCTTATCAGTTATAAACACCCATCCATTGCCATTTTCAATCCCAACATCAGCAAAAAATATTTCCATAAACCATGTCCATGTCTCCGTATTCTCAATCTCAACCACCGCAAATGCAATTGGAAACATCCCATTATTTGCGTCGATTCCGACTGCACTTAGTATTTGCCCAGGATGAGACCCTTTAATGTGACAGCCATCAAAGCCTACGACGGGCCTACATCCTTCTACAAAACCCCTCTTCAAAGCTGCAAAACATATATAAATCCGTTTAAAAATAGGATTCTCACCTTGCAAGTCAGTTTTTACTACCACAGTACTACTAGGATTATTTCTCTTTATCTCATCGCAATAATCCCATATCTTTGCATATTGCTCTTCAATACTACCTTGTATCCTCCCTCTAGCTTTTCTCTTGGCTTTATACACTTGGTTCTCTGTGATGTCTATACCATAGTGTTTCCTCACAAGCTTCTTGAATGCACCAACACTCATATTTGGATTATCTCTAAGCTCTTCATCAAATCTTTCAGCTAGCCAAGAAGAAGTGGCATACTTTGTCTTTTGCAATCTTCCACAAGTATGTTCTGGTACAAATGTTTAATCCTTGTAGTCAGCCCCCTCCCTACATGAGCTGCATATAGTAACCAAGGACATTTTATTTTAGATGTTCCTAAACATGATACTCGAAGCCTAGTTCGATCATTCTTATCCCAATGCAATGGTCTACTAATAGCAACCGAATAGTACCTTACAGCCTCCCTGCATGCCTTCATGTCAGGAAACTTCATACCCAAATAAAAGGTTGGATTTAATAAGTCAGTCTCTCTTCTGAATTGTTTAAACCTTGGAGCTTTTCTCTTTCGTCTAACCTTTTTCACAACAATACCTTCTTCATCTGAATGCTACTCTTCATCAAGACTTACCAGCTCATCTGAGTTGTACTCATCAGTAGAAATTTCGCCAGGCTCTTTATGCGATGCCTCAAAAGCCTCATCAACCACAAACCTCTCAAATAGAGTATCATCTTTCACAACTTCAGTATCATTTTCAGATTGCACATAATCAGAGTCAACATATTCAAAGTCATTTTCACTTTCCTCTCTTGCACCATCATCTTCCTCCATATCAAGCTCTGATCCCACTTCATCATCATCACCAACATCTTCATCATCTTCATTTTCATTTTCATATTCATCATCAGCATCTACATCAAATATTTTTACATCAACTCTTTGATTCACACTAGCTTCAACATTCACACCTTTTTCACATTGTACTGTAGCATCTACAAGATGGTTGTCTAAGTCAGTTGCCAACATTTCTTTCTCAAACCAATTATCCCAACCATTACCCCACTGACCATTATTTGTCAAATATAAAACTTGAACCCTAAATGAAGGTATATGAGAAACAAATTCACTAACATCGGCATCTGCAATAAGAGGGACAAACCCCTTTACTTTGTCTTTGTAGTGAAACCCTGTTTGTAGATGGTTGTAGCCAAGTGATACAGCCACATCATATATATCTAGCATAGACATTAAGTCAGCGTCGAAGTTGTCCACCCACTGTACAAGACCACCAACATACTTTCCATCCTTAAGATGACCTCCATGGTGAATCTCTATTGTGAATAAATCAGGCTTAGCTACAAAAATAAAAACACATAATTAAAAATCTATTTTTGTTAAAATAACAAAAGGCCCAAGGTTCAAATCCCTACAATGTAAACAAACAAAAAAAATAACATAAACACATCCCATGGAGAGTATTAGAATCTAGAGAGTGGTATTACAAGATTTTTCATCCAAAACTTCAAAAAAAAAGATATGGGACGACAAACTGACTAAAGCAACTACAAAAGGTATAAAATATACTTACAGTACTTTGGCCGATTCCCCCCACTGCGCACCTCCAAAGGCATCTTCAACTCTCAAAACTTTTTGTAATCTCAATGATTTTGTCGAATCCACCATCAGCAAACTATGAAGTCAATTTCCCCCAAGTTGTAAACCCTAAATTTCTAAACAGCGATGGTGCAAAGGGTATATTGTGTGAAAGTCTTGCTAAATGACTTTTCTGCCCTTAAAGAATTATCACATAACAGAAATATGGATGGAATATATGAAAAACTAACGGTAGGGGTAAATCGGCTAAAAAAATTAGTTTGAGTCCTTAATTTTCCAATAGAAAAGTTCATGGGGGAAATCGAAAGTGAGGTGAAAGTTCAGGGGGTAAATCGACAGTTTACTCAAAATAAAAAATAAATAAAAAGTCAAATCAAATTTACAGGAGGGGATCTTCAAGGATGATCAGGTGGCGCCTCATCACTCGGCGGAACTCCAGGAAGAAGAGGGAGTCAGAGGTTGATCATCTGGAGCTTCATTACGCGGCATAGCCCTAGAAGACGAAGACAACTGTTTTTGGAACAAACCCACAAACCTCTTATGATCAAGTAAATCTGACCATCAGATTCCTGCACCTGGTCAATCTTCCTTTTTATGTTTGTAGCATAGTTATGTGCGAGCCTGTGCAATTGTTTATTTTCATGCTTGAGCCCTCTAATCTCCTGTTTGGGACTCATCACTTCAGCTGCCAATGATTCAACTTGACGGGTCTGAGCAAATAGGCGTTGGACCATATTAGACACAGAACCTGCACACTGAACACTGAGAGCCAGAGAATCCTTAACAGCCAACTTATCAGACCGTTTGGAAAGCAGTCTGTTATCTTTGGGAGTGACAAGGTTCCGGGCCACCACCGTAGCGGTCATATCATTCTTCATCACCGAATCCCCAACGATAAGAGGACCAGTAGGGGATATGAAAGATGGGCGCCATATGTTATCTGGAGAAGGCGGGACTGCCTCTTCACCAAGGTTCAAATCAAAACGACGGTCGGAGGGTCCAGACATTTTCAAAGTTGTTGAAGAAAGAAGAGGTTAGACAATTCAAGATCTTATAACTGCGAGAAATGAGTTTCTACAAGCGAAAATTCAAGTGTGCTTTGAAACGACCTGCATGCCTCTATAAAAATCAGCACTCGACGGGATTTCAAAGATCGAAGAGGCGAGCTCAGAATTTGAAGAGGCCAATTCAAAAATCGAAGAGGCAAGCTCAGAAATCGGAGAGGCATCTTGCTTTTCCAAACGTGTCAGCACCCGTCACACGCAAACTCAGCTTTGCAGAAATCACGGGCAATTTGTCGAAACGCTGATCCCAGATATCGAAGAGGCGCCAGTCCTTTTCAGCCTCATCAACACCTGTCACATGCACACTCAGCTTGGCCACGAGTGAAAGAATAGTACCTCTACAGGTATTAAAAAAACTTCCTATAACTGTCCACCTTCACCCTCCATAGCAAGGCAGACATACAGAACCTTTCTTCATCTCCGAGGATGTCTTCCTAACGAAGCCTCTCGAGTCACTCAGTTTTCCTTATTCCTTGGGGTACCTCTGCAAACAAATGACACCAAAGAAAAAGTATCTCATATCACCAGGTTAGAAAGCAAGAGTTTCTCATATCATGCGTTTTCCCTATCATTTCCTTTGTCCTTGTTCTTACCAGCAAAGACAAGGATAAAGAAAGAAATATGCCGGAACCTCCACTCGAACTCGGGTAAGGAACCAACTGCTTGGAACCCTTCCCTGATTGCCTACCTAGCACTGCTCTCGAATACTCGTCTTCCACTGCTGCTGCACTTCCAGAGAAGCTGCCACATCTGCCTGGAGAACAGATAAGGCAAGTGAAAATGATACCTTGCAGCATGTGGAGACAACGTGCAAAAGAAACAAGCAGAGAAGAATGCAGCCTGCATAGTCAACTTAGCAGACGGAGTCTGAGCTAAGGAACTCGAGAAGATGCCACATTCTGCCAGAAGAATAGATAAGGCAAGGGAAAATGATACATTGAAGCATGTGGAGACAAGCACAACAAAGCACGTGTCGATTCATCCGCTACTTCTTCAAAATCAAAAGTATCTCATATCATCAAGGTTGCAATCACTCTGGGTGGAGGACTCGTTTTGACCCTCAAATTCTTGGGTCGACTCGCTAGGCGTTGTGGGTTACACGTGCCGATTCACCACCCTTGAATCAAATCCTTAAAGATCAAGTCACCAACTGGAAGAAGAGCCCATCAATCTTGAATATCATACCGTTGACCAAACTGCTCAGGTGTGAAATAGAAGGATTGAACAAAGCAACAAGTCGTCACCTTTACCTCGTGCTTGCTTGCCATATATTCAATTCAACCTTCAAGAATCAAACCAACGGCCCTTGAGGAAATCACAAGTCCGATTCAAGATCAAGCATCCGCCACCCTTGAATCAAACCCAGTTCAAGAATAAGTTGTGGAAAGTCAACAACTGGAGGAATCCAGAAAATCCTCCAACCCAGTTCAAGATCAAAGCTGTGGAAAGTCAACAAGTGCAACAAAATATGTGCCGATTCATCCACTACCAAAGCCAAAGATCATCTACCACATGAAGCTCCTTGTGGTCCAATTTCAACCTTCAAGATCAAGCCCCGACGGCCCTTGAAGA